CGACGTCCTTCCCCCACCTCCATCTCGACCCCCCGTCGTCCATCTCCCGTTGTGCCCTAAAATCCGAACCTCAACCGAACCAGATGGCGGCAGAGTATCCCGTCGTCAGGATAAAGGAAAGAGGGTGATCGTTGACTCATCCGAAAGACCTCGAGCAGAAGAAGAAGAGCCCCAACACTGCCTCACCGCGACGTCGGAATCCACCCATCGCCAGCACCACCTCTAGAATTTATAAAGTATGCTTATATTGAATTTAGGATTGTTTAGATTACATTTAGGATATGATATTATACATATGTGCACCACCCGATATGACAATCCGATATGTAGTCCATGTCTCTCGATATATCCCTGATTTTCGCTATCCGACATGAATTTCAGCTGCCCGACACGAACCCTACATCCGACATTTAAAACCTTGCATTTTAATCTAGCAAACAACATTTATATGATACTTGTAATATTGACTTGTGGTGGATGCTATTTATATATAGCGACATATCTGATAGCAAGTTTCTTTTCTCCTTTTGGTTACCAAGCAGTGGAAATGATGGGGGTGCCGGTCCGTATGGTGGCTTTACTTTCAATCCATGTCTGGCCTCCCTGCATACATATCTTGGAGGTAATGCTTTATATATTCTTTCCAACAGCTTTTGGCGTTGCTATTTGGATGCCTTTAACTTTTTCTGTGTGACAGAGGTTGATGATACTCATGGTAGATTATCATTTCTGGATGGAGGTGCAATCTTGAACTTGCCGATGTTTTATCTTGAAGGTAATTATCATTTATTTAGACTTTTTGTTGTGTTTCACATATGTTTTTACTGCCCCAGGATTACAGTTATTGACACCGTATTATTTTCTCTGTTAAATTTCGTTGCAGCATCTTATAATAGATTTCACGCAACTGTGTGCTGCTAAGGTGTTGAAAATTTGATGTAATGAGATATCCTCTCTAAGAAGGTTGGGACCATTATAATGAGCTGGTCAAGAAAAAAATGAGAGAACAATGCAACAAATCCAATGTATACTAGACGGCATTAGATGCACATTTCTTTGGATGCCCATCAATTTAAGATTTTAATGCCTCCAAGCCTGTCACGATCCTGCTACTTCAATTGATCATGAAGACTATCTAGGCCCTCAACTTGGCTTAAATTAGCCATAATAGTATGCGGTACTAGTCAACAATCAGTTCGTGATTTACAGTTATCTACTGATCTGGACTTAATATTACCATATGACTGCTTTAGCACCTTATCAGCTCCCTATACGCACATACTCCTTTTTTGCAAGTCCAATTCATAGACATCTTGAAAACATGCACTGTATTAAACTTACCCTTAGCTGTCTAATTCCAAGGTTTAGAGGACATAGAACTTCAAGTAAAATTCAAATTCCCAACTTATTGATAATTGAGAATGTATTCTCATTTCTCATCATGTATTTTGGACATCCTATTTGGGCATGCTAAATGGAGGGGGAAGCTCACAATCCTGTTTTATCAGTTGCACTGTGTATTTCCTGTATTTTTTCTTAATTCTAGATTTTATTCCTTAATGTCATTTGGTCATGTTAACAGGAGTTGTTTTGTTCCCTGAAGCAACGCTTCCTCTAAGAGTAATTCAACCTAGATTCAAAGCTGCTGTGGAAAGAGCTCTGCAGCAGGTTGAGGCTTCTTGCACTATAGGTGTGGTATGTTAACTAGCTTTAGCTCATTGCAAATAATCCCACTAATCGTTTGCTTTTGTATAATAATATGGATAATGTTTAAACTTGATTTAGGTTCGAGTACACAGACATCCAGATGATGGAAGAGTTCGCTTTGCTACTACTGGCACCACTGCAGAGGTTTGATTCTCAGATCTCACTGTCTATATTCATCAAAGATTTCCCCATTCTGTATGCATTCGCAGAAACCTAACTGATTAGAGCTTGATAGTTTGTTGACTAATTAGTTTAATTGCCTGTCTTGAATCGTTTTAAGTATAAAATGTAGAGTCGAGACTCCAAAATGGCAAAGTTCTACATCTAGCCAATTTGGATAAAACCCTTATAAACTTAAAGGACCCTTCAAAGATTAGTTCTAAAAATTAATTTAGTTATACAGGGGAATATCTGAACTAGTCTCATCCACTTAATGAATGCATGAAATTCAGACCAAAAGCTATATGCGGTCTTACCATGTGAAGAGGAACCTGATTAACCAAGCCTCACTTGCAGCTCCCAGTACTAGTCTTCTTTACATTGACATGGGTTATTGAGGTTGATCTTGCACAGGAATCAGAAGTTCGCTGTATATTTCTGAATAAGTTTAAAGTTTTTAAATGATTAGCACTCCCATAACTTTTTATTTGATGGAAGCCATAAATCTAATGCTAGGAGCATGTAGAATAATATGAATTTAGCAGGGTGAATATACAACATGAACTTGAGGGCATATGTGATGAGAACCCATAAAATTAGAGGAAGTAGCTGTATGGCTGAAATTTTGGAACTAAACCTACAGAATATGGTAGACATTCTTACAGAACGTTGTTAAACTCATTATAAAAGGGCTTTGTTCTTTGTTGTTTAGACCTTCCTCTTATCTGTCATTTTCTGAGGGTCCGGTTGGTTATTAGAGCTAGACCGAGTCATCAACAGACTCTTACCAAACAGAAAGTTACCCAGGCTCGTAAAGAAATATTTATGTGTGACGTCAAAACGGATGTCAATCTGTGGTGGTCAATATTTTGCTTTTAAATATATTTTTTTTTGAGGGGTATGGACAGCTAACCTCTAGTGTTTTAAAAAACCACAACATTCACCCCCCCAAATGCACAGAATGCTTACCATGACCACTATTTGGATGAAGAGTTGTTTGTTAGAAGCATATGTTGCACGAGCTTAGCTTTAACTCTTCACGGGACATGAGCTTTCCATCTCACCTTCATAAGCTTTATTAGTCCTACATCTTAACTCTTTTTTTCTAAACACTACCTTAGGGTTACTCTTAAATATCCTAGTTAAACATGTTACTACAATCCACTCCTAACTTTAACACTAATCAACCATGTTAACGTTAGTTATCTTTTTATTTGTGTTTGATTTCAACCTGAAATTCTTAAAATGTTGTATTTAGTGAAGAAAAGAACTTGTGAGAATTCTTTATTGGAGGGAGTGCAGGCATTTTGCTAATCAGAAGAGAATTAATGGTTTTTTAGCCTCTCGTTTTCTGTAGTATTTTCATACTTCTGCTTTTGATCCGATTTTGGCCTCACCTGTATGCTTTCTCTTAGATACGGCAATATCGGCAGTTGGATGATGGCTCCTTAAATGTGGTTGCTCGTGGTCGGCAGCGTTTTCGCGTGAGGCGTAGATGGATAGATGTTGAAGGAGCGGTAATGTTTCATGTTAACAATTTTTTCCATGTGATGATTTATTGGACGAGGGTAATCTGAAAACAATATTGTTTGTTTTGCAGCCATGTGCTGAAGTTCAAATTGTTCAGGAAGATATTCCTTTAAAAACTCCAAAGGATGCATTTGGACTACTGGCTTCTGTTGGAAACTCCAGAAAATTTAGCCTTTCTCATGCAGTGCCTTCAGGTCTCTCTCCAAACAAGCGATTGACATATGAGGATGCTGAAAATAGTTCAGAGTGTATGTCCCCTGCAAGCGCAGAAAGTGACCATTCAGACGTATGTATGAGAATCTGCCCCTCTGCAAGTGATTCCCTTAGTCTATACGAGAGGATCTATGAGTCCTCTAGTAGTGATGAGGAGTCCGTCTATGGGCGAAGGAAGAGGCTACCGAAATCTTTTTCAACTAGATCAACTAGATCAACTAGATCAAGAGCATCAGGGAAACATTGTACTAAAAAGTTGAGCAAGGATGATAGGCTTGGTTGGGATTCACCGGAGTCTTCAGCAGAAAAAAGATCTAGTGATCATGAAAAATGGAAAGGTGGCTGCACTGTTGATGGTGCAAAACGTGTGTGCAGGGCTCCAATGTCCTTCTGGCCTCATTGGGTCTACCAAATGTATGACTCATACGCACTTGCGCAGAGAGCTGCTGGTAATAATTCCATACTCCCAATTTTAACCATGTGGGCATGTAAATATTTTTTTGCTATGAGCATTATTTCCTAGTGTTTTACAAAATAAAATTATATGGACCTTTTTCACATTGGTATTGTAGTAGTGCCAGCACGTGCTTGTAGGATGAGAACTGCAATGATGTTCATGTAACCATGCTGCAGATTTGTGGAGGCAGATAATAGGGAGTCCAAGGCTGGATGATTATACAAAGAAGCCGGATCTTTTATCATTTTACATAGCCAGCAAACTTCCTGTGTCAGAATCTGAAAGGCAGGAACTGTTAGAGATTGATGGAATATCATACAGATTGCAAAAGGAAATCCAGCTCCTTAAGAGCTTTAATCTTATATGCTGTAAAAACTGCCACGTAAGGGATTGTGTTGGTCATGATTTTCTTCAAGGCTTGTAAAATAAGTCTTAACTTTTTTTATTACTTTTATTTGAAATATCTGATATGTTATGACCATGTTTATAGTTGGACTTAACTGCTGTTTTGTTTTTGCAGACCTTAATTGCAAAGAGGAGCGATATGGTGATAATGTCTAGTGATGGACCACTGAATGCTTATGTCAACCCTCATGGCTATGTACACGAGGCCATAACCGTTTACAACGCTACTGCACTGGCACTTTGGGGGTCTCCTTCTAAAGAGCATAGCTGGTTTCCAGGGTATGAGCATAGATTTTATCTTTTGTGCAAAATACATTTAAAAGCTTGTCCGAGTGTAGAAGGGAAAACATCTTTGCTTTAAAAAAATTAATTTTCTACATAACATAGAGAATGATAGGTAAAAAAGCTATATTTTGTCTATATTTTAAATTTGTATTGCATGCAGATTCTTTGTACATAAAACTTCGAGAAGTGTGGATATGTAAAATAATCACCTTTCAGCTAGGATTATTAGCATAACAGATGTTGGTTGAGTACTGATAGTACTCATATCTGATCCTGGTAAACTTAAAGGATATCTGGACAACCCATGTATAAACATAAATGAGCATAGTCAAAAGACAATGTTGAGATGGACGACCTAATATGTTAATAAAAGATGGTATCAACAATGGATGCATCTGTAAGAAGTAAGCTACCTTTACAAATAGCGAATGCTGATCGCTTTCATTTTTTTTCGCAGATACGCCTGGACCATTGCCAACTGTGCAACTTGCGAATCACACATGGGTTGGCTGTTTACAGCTACAAAGAAGAACTTGTTGCCGAGATCTTTCTGGGGGATCCGTAGTTCTCAAGTCGCTGATGATACCTCAAACATAGAAAGAGAAGGCAGGTGAAAAACAATGCTTTTGTTTCTGTTGTGTATTTCTGATGCATGTACAAGTCCTTGTATAATTGCCATTTGATTCCCAAGAGAGACCTTTACCATCAAATGTAAGTTGTTCAGAGGATGAGTACCTACTATCCAGTACCAAATATTTTATAGGCAAAAATATCGAAGTTTGATGAGTTTTTTGCTATGCTAGACGAGATTGTAGTAGTAATTCATTAATTCCCAACAGTAGTCTAAGATGGGTTAAAGGAACATTTTACGGGGTATGTGAAAATTTTTTGGGGGAAGCTAGTAAATAATTGATATGTGAATCCAATTTTGGTGTTGAATGGTATGTAACCTTGGTGTAATTGTGTAAATGATGCGCGTGAGAAATAATAGTTATGTTTGAGAGTTAGGATTGAGTTGAACTTCAGTTTCATACGGGAAAGTGCTTAATAATTTACTGGATAAATGTATTTACAAGTGCCTTTTTCGCTGAAGCTTCTCTTGCATAATCTATTGAGTATAAAGTTGACATTGAAGACGAGGGGAACGAGGTTGAGCGGCTCAACAGTAATTCGGCAGATCTGCTGCAGTTACTTCTACTTAAACAGGTAGTTGTATCTTGCATGAGATTTTTGGCGTTACGAATCTATGCGTTTGTTTGTCAAGATGATGGCCAGGTAGAAAACGAAAGTGATAAGCGGCGCAAGCCGTTGGGGGAGTATTTACATTTGCTTCGCATTTTTTTCCTTTTCAAAAAATACCTTTATGTATGGCAATCTGTGTATTAGTGCATGTTTGGCAAATGTCCAAAGCAAGCCACTTTGAGATGTTTAGCACACGGCTTATGTTGACTTGTAAGTCATTAAGAAAGTAAGATTAGGGTGTCTTAGATTACCTTTTTCGGTGGCTTACAAGTCATTAAAGTTTGACAAAGTAAAATATAATTATACCCTTTATGATTTCATAACATCCAAGGTCTCATTTAGTAACCCACCACCGATCCATGTTTTTTTTATCATTTTGACGACAACGATGAATTATAATCCACTGATTTTTTAAACACTCTACTGTTTGAGTGAAAAGTCGGTTCTGTTGAGGAATTCATTATAACTTTGTTTGATTACAATAAATTCGAAAGAATAATCTTTGGTCGCCAGCTTGTTTGAGTCAAAAGTCGGTTCTGTTGAGGAATTCATTATAACTTTGTTTGATTACAATAAATTCAAAAGAATAATCTTTTTATAAGACTTTTTCTACACAACAAAATGAGAATTACAACTCTTGATAAACAAACACAAAAATCGTCTATCGATCTTTGTTTTCGTGGGACTTTGCCTTTGCCGGGAACGCTTTGGTTCGTGGACCGCCGAATCACAGATCGTGAAGGGGGTTTACTGATTCTGACTTCGTTTATCGAAGTGAGAAATTGAAACGATATCTTATCGAAGTAAGATAGTCGTTCTTCTTAAAATCAAGTCAAAGCTCAATTTCAAGGAATTACACGAAAACTCAAGTCTGCTCTCTCTGCTCTGAATTGCTCGAAAATATGCTCGATAATATGCTCGATCCGTATTTATAGCCTCTGGGGTAATAACTGCACAAAACTCAAACAAACGAAGAAGTTAGCTGGCGAGACAGTGTTTACTGTCTCGCTGGTCGAGACAGTGTTTACTGTCTCGCCTAGCGAGACAGTAAATTTGCTGTCTCGCCCAGCGAGACAGTAAAATACTGTCTCGGAAAACGAATATTCCTGGCAGTTTCTCGCTGTAACTGCCTTCCCACGTTTCAAACTCCGTTATTTTGGCAGTTATTCACGTGATTTTCGCCCACGATGTTTCCCACGTCCCTTGGCAGTTAATGGACACGTGTAGGGCTGTTACAAAGGTAGTTTTGACCATTTCAAAGCTGTCTCGCTGGCGAGACAGTAAAGTCTGTCTCGCTGGCGAGACAGCAAACACTGTCTCGCTGGCGAGACAGCAAACACTGTCTCGCTGCGAGACAGCAAAGACTGTCTCGCTGCGAGACAGTAAACTCTGTCTCGCTGGCGAGACAGCAAAGTCTGTCTCGCTGGCGAGACAGTTCATATTTGTCAATTTTGGGTGGTTTTCCCTATGATTGGATATCTATTAGCATTTTTTGATGCCTACATCTACTATTAAAAGCAGATTATGATCCAATAAATTAATCAAACACTCTAGATTATAATCCACTTGGGTTAGGAGCCATTTCCCCAAACATACTCCTAATCTCTGAATCTAACTACCCCATTCTTGCAGCGTCATCACTGTAGTCCCTCTTCTATATGGGCATGAAAGAAACAGGAGCAAAATGCCCTAATTGTGACTGAGAGTGAAAAAGGCACGGACCAAATTTACCAGATAAAAGGTTATTTCTAAGGTTTAAATCAGCTTCCCAAGCTCCTTTTATGCAGAGGCGTTATGTGAGCTAGCTAGCTAGCTTTCGTCGTGGGATGATGAATTTATTTGAGAATAAAATATAGTTATATATTCTATCTCGAAGAAGAACAAAACTTCAAGAATAAGAAGACGGTGCCTATTTTCAAGAAGAAGTAGAAAGCTCAGCAGATCGAGAGCCTTCTCGGGGAGCTGGAGGTTGTCAAGGTTGGTGGCTGTTTTTTTTTTCAACAAAGACGGTCACCGAAAACATGGGAGCAAGGGTAAAAAAAAAAAAAGGAAGGAAGAAAAAAAAAAAGGCATAGACGGTAGTTTCTTCTCTTGTCTTAATAGGGAGGCGCACCTTAGGGCCTCTTTGGATTCGTAGGGGATGATGGGAAGTTAAGGGAAACTAGGTGAGAGAATGGAAGGGAAGGGAAGGGAGTTCGCTTTCCCTTGGTTACACCCCAATTTGGGAGGTAACAATTTTTATACTATTAGGGGGTGAACCAAAGTGAATGGAGGTGAATTAACTTCACCTCCTAACAAGGTGAATGGAGGTGAATGATTCCCCTAACTTCCCTTCACCCTCATTCCCCTCAATCCAAACAAGCCCAAGATTTGGGAATGAAATAAGTAGGAACAAAACGCAATAATTCTATCATTACTGTCAGCAAAAAAAATTTACACCTTATAATTGTCACGAAAAAAAAGGCACATGCTTCTACTGTGGCAATATGAGCATTTAACATGATGGATAAAAAGTTGGATTTACTACATCTTATAAAAAAAATAGAATTTACAAGATGAGCAAAAATTTACACCTTATAATTTTTTTCCTATTTGTTTGCGATTTGTACCTTTTCCTAAATGGAGAGCTATTCGTTTGGTTACAGGCCCATTTGGGGTTCCGGCCCATGCCGCGAGTGAGCATACCGTCCTCGAGCGCGTGTGGAGTCTTCAAACAATTTTAAAAAAGAAAAGAAGAAAAAAAGAAAAAAGAAAAGAGACAAACTTTTAGAGAGAGGAGAACGAAGCTCGTCGTCATGCTCTCACTCAAAGCCGCCACCTCTCGGTAATTACAGCACCTCGTCATCCTCAATTTCCTCTTTAATTTAATCTTGTATTATCCAAATTACCCAAATTAGAAAAAAAAATCAAATCTTTTGCCTAATCAAATCAAACCCCAGTTAAAGCGGTGGGTCTCGCCACTGACTTCCACATTAGCTCACACCCGGAAAAAAAATTAATTTTCCCTCCATTTTAAGCGGTGATCGTTGTTTATATTAACGCTAGGTTGAGGATTTTCACTTTTGTTTCTTTGTCGATCTTTAGAATTGCGAGGAAAAGAAGAGAACTTTATATTCGCAGAGAAGGCGGGAAGAAGAAAAGGGGGGAGCTTGATCGAAGATGGAGAGCACGATGAAGGAGATGCGAGGGGACGAAGCCTCGGTTCTTGATCTCGATTCGAAATCGGCGGTGGGTGGTGGAGTTGAGGATATCTATGGCGAGGATCGAGCCACCGAGGAGCAGCTCGTTACGCCATGGACGGTTTCAGTTGCAAGGTTTGATTTCCTTCGTTCTTTTGATTTTTGATCCTTTTTTAGTTTAGGTTTATATATATATATATATAGGGAGAGGTTCAAATAAAAACCTAGAGAACTAAAAACCAATCCTAACCCTCCAATCTATTTAATCCAATGACCTACATTTCGATGGCAGAATTGAAAATATACACAAATCTAATACACATCAGCTGTAATAATTAATGTGAAAAGGGTAAAATTGGAACGATTCACTACAATGGTGGCTAACAACATTAGAAACTGGAGATAATGATTAAAACAAAAAATACAACACGTCCTTTCACTTCCCCATTTCTCTTTCTAACTAACTTCCCGCTCTCTGTAACTCACTTCCATCTTCTATCAAGCTTTGATCTTCCATCTTCACATGAAGAACACGACAACGGTTCATTAAAAACCATCCTAACCATCTTCCATCTTCTATGAAGCTTTCATCTTTCATCATCCATCTTTGCAGGAAGAACACAGCAACAATTCAGCATCGAAAACAACATTCTTTGCAGGAAGAACACAGCAACAATTCATCTTTTATCAAGCTATAAAATTTTAAACCATGAAAAGATTTCACCTTTTACAGCAAAAAGTTACGATTTTTATGGTAAAAAACAAACACCTCACATAACTGAATCTGGATTCACTGCAGTGAATCTGGATTCACTGCAGTGAATCTAGATTTACATATGCGTGTCTTCGTTTTTCAACTGGTTTCTTCAAAAAACAGGAAACTTTTCAGACTAAAAGGTAAAATTTTTCACATTTTACAGCAAAAAGTTACAATTTTTTATGGTAAAAAACAAACACCTCACATAACTGGATCTGGATTCACTGCAGTGAATCTGGATTCACACATGCGTGCCTTCGTTTTTCAACTGGTTTTCCAACTGGTTTCTTCAACTATTATAAAAGTAGCATGTTAAAGCATTTCTTTTCAAAATGAGATTTAGCACAGTATTTGTATAGAACTGCAAGTCCTTTTCACTGAAACTGATTTCAAAGATGGAAACTTTTTCCTCAAAATTTAGTGGACTGAGTACTAATTCTGAAGCAAGTAAAAAGTATTTATCTAAGCTAATACTATTATAAAAGTAGCATGTTAAAGCATTTCTTTTCAAAATGAGATTTAGCACAGTATTTGTATAGAACTGCAAGTCCTTTTCACTGAAACTGATTTCAAAGATGGAAACTTTTTCCTCAAAATTTAGTGGACTGAGTACTAATTCTGAAGCAAGTAAAAAGTATTTATCTAAGCTAATACTATTATAAAAGTAGCATGTTAAAGCATTTCTTTTCAAAATGAGATTTAGCACAGTATTTGTATAGAACTGCAAGTCCTTTTCACTGAAACTGATTTCAAAGATGGAAACTTTTTCCTCAAAATTTAGTGGACTGAGTACTAATTCTGAAGCAAGTAAAAAGTATTTATCTAAGCTAATACTATTATAAAAGTAGCATGTTAAAGCATTTCTTTTCAAAATGAGATTTAGCACAGTATTTGTATAGAACTGCAAGTCCTTTTCACTGAAACTGATTTCAAAGATGGAAACTTTTTCCTCAAAATTTAGTGGACTGAGTACTAATTCTGAAGCAAGTAAAAAGTATTTATCTAAGCTAATACTATTATAAAAGTAGCATGTTAAAGCATTTCTTTTCAAAATGAGATTTAGCACAGTATTTGTATAGAACTGCAAGTCCTTTTCACTGAAACTGATTTCAAAGATGGAAACTTTTTCCTCAAAATTTAGTGGACTGAGTACTAATTCTGAAGCAAGTAAAAAGTATTTATCTAAGCTAATACTATTATAAAAGTAGCATGTTAAAGCATTTCTTTTCAAAATGAGATTTAGCACAGTATTTGTATAGAACTGCAAGTCCTTTTCACTGAAACTGATTTCAAAGATGGAAACTTTTTCCTCAAAATTTAGTGGACTGAGTACTAATTCTGAAGCAAGTAAAAAGTATTTATCTAAGCTAATACTATTATAAAAGTAGCATGTTAAAGCATTTCTTTTCAAAATGCTCCCCAACACATCCATTCATACATACATAAAGATATATACATGTTCAAGTTTTCATAACCTCCCCATTGCTTGCACATCCATGCATACATACATGAAGACATACATAAAATTTTTCATAACCTCCCAGTTGATTGTCATTAATTTTTAAATTAAACACAGTGACACTCCTCCACTATCTCTTGGCACACTAAATATAAATTTATTTGCACTAATAAAAAAAACGTTACAACTATTCTTCTCCCACCAAATCACTATAAATAACAAAAAAATTTATCACACTTCTTCAATCAACATTCCAATTCTAATTAAAATTTAGATAGAGAAGAAAATAGCCAAATCTAGCTTGCTTTTTTCCTCGCTGCTTTAGCGACCTCGAGCTCGCTTTTTCTATAATTTTTATAAATTTAATGTTCTTTTCTTGATCAACATTGCTATGCACTGAGATTTTTAAGATGTTCAATGTTTTGTGCCTTTTTTTTGGAGATTAAGTGAATATATGTGATTTATTTAATAAATAATAATTAAAGTTTCTATTCATTTTCGCATTTGTTTTGTCTCAAACTATGTTCATGCAGGATTTTGTTAACTATGAGGTTTTTGGTGATTCCTCTCATGATTACATGCATTGAACTAAACAAGCAAAGGAGAAGTCCTGTCTTATTTATGTACCTTATGTAGCTTATCAATTTGAGGCTAAAATTATTCTATATTAATAAGTCAATCGTTGTTAATTAAATAAATAATTTGATAAATAACTAAGTTAATTTAATAAATTATAAGACACCTGAGTGCTTTTTAGCCTTTCAGAAAACCCCTTAAATTTGGGCATTCCTTAGATAATATCACTTAACTCGCAAAATGTCATGAAATCCTACTAATGTTTAGCGATCTCAGTAAGTTCCCTAGACTTTCGGTAATTTTCAAAAAACTCTTCTTAATGGCGTTAATGTTGACTTTGTTCTTTTTCACATGTAGGTAAATTTATGTAGGGTGATATTTTTGCCTATGAAAATTGTATTTCATGCTTTTAGTGTTTTTTTAACAATGTTAAAAGTTGAAAGGGTTTTCTTGAGAATCCCAGAACTTAAGGAGGTTTCGTGATATTTTAAAAGTTCAGAAGTTTATTAGGAGGCATTTGTTGAATTTACCCTAAATAGAGTGTATAAACTTATGACTCGGATAATTGATTTGATATCTAATAAATTATCGATTGCAAACCAAACTAATTTGAAATACTATATATATAATAAAAATATACATTAGGTACATAAAATTATCATTGCATATAAATAGGAAAATGGAAACACGTGCAATGCAGGTGCACCATACTAGTTTCCAAAAATAAGCATATGGATTTGTGTTTATTGATGATTGAGAATCTATGACAAGAATTTTCCATTATACATCCACAACAACAGCAAAATTCTCGTTTATTTAATGATGAGGTTTTTCTATTATCATTAACTAAAATTTGTGTCTTGTATTCATATTTGAATACCTTTTGTGGCAAAATTTGACAAATATTGCCCTTATTATTTGATTTAGTGGTTACTCATTGTTGAGAGATCCACACTACAATAAAGGGCTTGCTTTTTCAGAGCAAGAAAGGGATGCCCACTACTTGCGAGGACTCTTGCCGCCTGCATGTATCACTCAAGAGCTCCAGGTTGTCATTTAAAATCACATTTTCATCTAATTTCTGCTGAATAACATTTAACTTAACTTTATTGATCTCATTTTGCAGGAAAAAAAGCTCATGAACAATCTTCGGCATTATGAGGTGCCCCTTCAGAAGTACATGGCTTTGATGGATCTTCAGGTTACTGGCTCAATTATCCTTTCTGTTCTGTCTTGTTATATTCAAATATTTTAAAGGATAGTTTGCTAATATTTCATCATTAATTTTGTTTCAGGAGAGGAATGAGAGGCTATTCTACAAGCTTCTCATTGATAACGTTGAGGAGTTGCTTCCGGTTGTATACACACCTACAGTTGGTGAGGCTTGTCAAAAGTATGGTAGCATCTTTAGGCGTCCTCAGGGTCTTTATATCAGTTTGAAAGAGAAGTATGTTTTGGTTTTTTAATGCTTATTGTGGATTTGATTACTTTAGTGGTTGAAGCTTTGAAGTTGGGTTGAAGCTTTGAAGTTGATTGATCTTGTAGGGGTAAAATTCTTGAGGTGTTGAAGAACTGGCCTGAGAAGTCCATTCAGGTTATTGTGGTAACTGACGGTGAACGTATTTTGGGGCTTGGAGATCTTGGATGTCAGGTGAATATGATTTTAGGTATTTTAAGTTTTCATGGAATAGATCAAAAGCTTATTCTATGTCTTGATGATATGATGAAGAAAATGCTGCATAAACTTTGTGCAGGGTATGGGAATTCCTATTGGCAAGCTATCCCTTTACACAGCCCTTGGCGGACTTCGTCCATCTGCAGTAAGCACGTCAAACTCCTGATCTAATTCCTGATCCAGTTATTAGCGTGTTAAGTTTTCGAGTTAATTGTGGTTAAACCCCCTCAACGAACGCCTAATTACTGATGGAGCCCATGTAGTTGTTTTGTTGCTGATAAACCCCTGGAGTGAACTTTTTGACTCTTTTATCCCTAGGAGGTCTATTTGTCAAAAGAGCAATTTTCTCTTTTTCTGAGGGTAAAAGAATTATAAAAAAATTCACGCATAGGGTATATCCGCAACAATTAAACTACAGGGGGTCTGCCCACAATTTTGTGATAGTACAGGGGTTCTTTTCACAATCAATCATAAATTTTGATTGTGTAATCTATGGTAGTACTCTTTAGAATCAATACCTAAGCAATGACGGAAATTACATTTGTGCACTCTACTTTTGCTAAGCCTGACTGATATTTTAATTTATTTGCAGTGCTTACCCATAACAATTGATGTGGGGACTAACAGTGAACAGTTGCTGAAGGATGAGTTCTATATTGGGATGCGGCAAAAGCGAGCTACTGGCCAGGTACTAGATTCTATAGGAACTAACTAGTGTCATTACCCGCACCATGCTGTGGTAATTTTTTTTAAAATTAATTATATAATTTTTACTTTATATTTTCTTTGCTCAATCTTTGTGATATGTGAATTTAATAATCAACTTGAGCCCTGAACATAAGAATTAAACTAAAAAAGGTTATATTTCACAAACTACGGTGCATCTTGAGTAATTGAAAAATCTAAATTTACATAAAGCCTTAAATATGATTAAGAAAAATTAAACTTACACTATTAATATATAAAATATTAGTATCTTTCTTAAGGATATGGGTAAATCTTCAATTACCTCAAGTACTCTATTATGCACGATGTACATGGTACTTAAGCTTTGCATACTTGCACCTTCACCAACTTTGATATCGACAACTACAATTGAATATAATTTTGTGATATCGGATTACCATTAATTGAATTTTGTACAAATGATTTACACTCCTATCATGAACATTGTTTTGCATACAACACATTTCCTCAACGTGCTATTAGGAAAGCTGGATATCAAAATCTCATTGGGAAAAAATTCAAACAAATAACTGACAAAGATGAAACATTACAAACAAAGAAGCAATATAGGGGGAAATTATATACAAAGAAGCAACAAAAGGGATATATTTATATACCAATAACAAAAAAATACACAAATAAAATGGATACATTACTTTCATAAAATGGAGTGTAGCATTAAAATCTACAAGATGGATGCATAAGAAAAGCCCAATCGAGCATACGTTATCAACAATCACATGCATCATTATGGAGTAGGAACTAATGATAAAGAAAGGGATCTAAAAATACTTTTACCTAGATTAGTTTGCAAGATTTATAGAGAAGAGATGAATTGAGAAAGAGTGGGGAAGTTGATTAGGCTTGGCCGTTAGTGAAAATTGAGTTGCTGAGGTAGTGACAATTAGTGTAATTAATAATTGAGAGAGGTTACATTTTAATTCTTTATGAAATTTCAAAGGTTTGAATTTGATGTGACATTATGACCGTTTTCAATTTTACAAACAACAATTTTTATAGTAATTTGTGTATAATAAATAGATAAGATTTGGGAAACTTTAATTGATGGATGGTAGTATATGAAAGTTTTAGTATTTGTATGAATGGCCAATTCTTTGAAAGTTTTAGTATTTGTATGTTAAGCTTTAATAGATAAGATTTGAAAGTTTTAGAATGTGTAAAGATTACATAGAAGATGAATGGTCAATTCTTTGAAAAATGGACATGTGGCCAATTCTCCAGAAAATTGACATGTGGCATCCTAGGGAATTGTTTTAGTCTATTAGATAGATTGGCATATCACATGATATTGATTTATGATATGTTTTTAATCTGTATTGCTAAACTGCTACCTAGGAATATGCTGATTTGCTACATGAATTCATGACTGCTGTGAAACAAAACTATGGCGAGAAAGTCCTTATTCAGGTTGGCCACAGTATTTATGTTGAAATTCTTTCTGAATTATTTGCATGGTTTGTTTGATGTAAACTTAAATGTGTGCAGTTCGAGGACTTTGCAAATCATAATGCATTTGAATTGCTCGCAAAATACAGTAGAAGTCATCTCGTCTTTAATGATGATATTCAGGTAATCTAAGTATCTGCGTCTATATTTTCTGTGATAATTTTCTCTAGGAAATGAATGTTCTTTTGGAAAAATAACACTCGTCTATTAATTATAATTGTGATCTTTGCAGGGCACAGCTTCAGTTGTCCTTGCTGGGCTTATTGCAGCATTAAAGTTAGTTGGTGGAAAATTAGCAGAATACACCTTCTTGTTTCTTGGCGCTGGCGAGGTCACTTCTTCTTTTTTCCATGCTTTGTATATTCTTCATTTTTTATTCTTCATTTTTTTTTCTTTTGTTGCTCTGTCGACTGTCCTCCGAAACGGCTTCTTTGTGGATTTGAGGGCATAAAAGAAATTCTAAGAAATTAAGAATCCAAGCACTTACGAAACATCTATAATTGCAGGCTGGTATTGGTATTGCAGAACTTATAGCCCTGGAGATGTCAAAACAGGTGGGCTTTTTTCAAATATTTTAACTCTTTTACCTCCTTAAAGATATCTTCTTTTGTCCAACATAAAATGCATTTGATATGTTAGCTTTGTAGTTTATACCTTCTCATGTTAAATTTAATTACTTGTTTCCACTCTTGCAGACAAAAGCTCCAATTGTTGAAACTCGCAAGAAGATTTGGCTTGTAGATTCTAAGGTAAGAAAAAGTAGCATTAAGATTCCTGCATAGTAGAAAACTATTCACGCGGCTCTAATGTTGTGAACTAATTTTACTACTAGGGCTTGATTGTGAGCTCGCGCAAAGAGTCACTGCAACAATTTAAGAAACCCTGGGCTCATGAACATGAACCTGTCAAAACTCTCTTAGATGCTGTAAAGGTGCTTATCTTCTTAACAAAAAAGATGATCTTCATTTATGTTTATGTCCAAAATACTAATGTTTGTGCTCAAGAATTCCACATGTAATGCCAACTTACAGTTCATAAATTGGTCATGGTTGATTTGAACTTGCTTAGGCTATCAAGCCGACTGTGCTGATAGGATCAGCTGGAGTGGGGAGGACTTTCACAAAGGAGGTAGTTGAGGCGATGACCTCTTTCAACGAGGTATATGTTCGAGCATATTTCTAGGTTTCAATTTAAAGAGATATCAACCAGTGGGAACTAATATAAATGCTTTGTAACAATTGCAGAAGCCAATAATTTTTGCTTTATCAAACCCAACATCACAGTCTGAGTGTACTCCCGAGGAAGCATATACGTGGAGCAAAGTAAAGTTCCTACTTTTGCTGTTATTTTTCTTCAGTCAATGATGTGAATGCCAATGTTTTGCAAAACTAAAAATGGAGGAAAACTTTAAATTTAACCCTCACTCTTATATTATTTTCAGGGCCGAGTCATATTCGCTAGTGGGAGTCCATTTGGTCCTGTTGAATACAATGGCAAGGTTTTCATGCCAGGGCAGGTTCGTCTTTTGATTCTTGTAATTTGGTTTAATTTTTTAAAATTATTATCTAGAATTAAATAAATATATTGAAAGAACTTGAAACATCAATAGAAGTTGTGAATTTTAAATTGAATCTAAAATCAGGCAAACAATGCGTATATTTTTCCTGGATTTGGTCTTGGTTTGGTGATCTCAGGAGCGATACGTGTGCATGACGACATGCTTCTTGCAGCTTGTAAGTAAAGAACTGAAAATATTTACTTTCAAATAGTGGCCTCTTCTCCTGTGACAATTTACATGACTTCATCAGTCCTTGTAATCAAGGAACCATCATGTTATCCTTTACCTTTTACAAATTATATAAATTGAGATTTCCACACATATCTACACTTATGATAGATTACTTGGCCTTTTTAATTGAAGAACCCTTTTTAATTGATTTATTCCATTTTCCTTTTGTTGGAGCAGCCGAAGCTTTGGCTTCACAGGTGCCACAAGAGAATTTCGATAATGGTCTGATTTATCCACCGTTTACGAGTATCAGGAAGATATCTGCCCATATAGCTGCTAATGTAGCTTCTAAAGCGTATGAACTAGGTGAGCTTACCATCTTTCACAACAACAACAACAACAACAACAAAAGAAAAAAATAATCCTATAGTGAATTCTTTGTAGAAAATCATATAGATTGGAAAGGGAACACACATGCCAATGCCAGTTTTAGTTCTTTACAGTTTTGTTTCTTTACAATTAGTCACTGCATCTACAATCACTAACATTAAAATGTGCGTTGAAATACATGATTTTCTAAAGGGGACCACCCTCTATAGGATTTTCTCCCAATCTTTCTAGGAGAGGGAATGTTATGGAGGGTTCTCCATAAAAAATGTATGGAGTAACAAAATATCATAAAAAGAGTAAGGAGGAGGTGACACCTGGCATATCACGAATGTTGATGCATATACCATTGGTGTCTATTAGCACTACACACATAGAGGTTTCCCATGAGGTATCCCCACACCTTATTATGGATGGGACTAGGCCCACTTGCGCTTCGTGGCTAGCATTGACCCGAAGGATTTTACATGCTGGGGGATTCGAACACAGGTCTAGCCTACTATGGATCGTCCCCCAACACCCAACAGGAGCGCAGCGGGGCCTTACACCACTACGCCAACCTTGCTGCTTTTGTTAGTACAATATATTGATACGTGAGGTTCAGCCTTTTATTCTTCCCTGTCTGATGTTTTATAGAAGGCCCTCAAAAGGATTTATTTTCCCATCTTTCTATCATGTGGGTATGTGAAAGTTTGCTAATACACAAACTCGTTCTTCTGATATTTATAGGTCTTTCTACTCGTCTCCCCCGTCCAGAAAATCTTCTAAAACACGCAGAGAGCTGCATGTACACTCCAGTATACCGTACTTACAGATGAGTCAAAAAAAAGTATTCGATTTTGTTCTGTAGCTTTATGTATATATACTTGCTACGTTTGTAAAATTTGAGAGTTTTTGTAGTTTCTGCTAATAATTATGCAGAGTAGTGCTGTTTATTGGGTGATTCTATGGATCAGTGTGCTGATGTATATATATCATCTTTTGTACCTTATTGTTGTTGCCTGTAATTGCTATCTTGTAATCAAATGGCAACCAGTTCCTTGAAATAGATTTGCATACTTAATTATGTTGATTTTAGTTAAAACGAATAATATTTTGTAATAATCTAAAACTAGTATTTTAGCTCGTACTAAGCATGGTCTTACCACCATGTTCCGATCCGCCATTTACAAAAGGCTCTTCAAAATGCATTTATGTCTTCCAATCCCTATATTATGGTATTTTAGCACGTTCGAGGCACGGACATACCTCGTTGTCCGAGGCATGGACATACCCACCTTTTTTGGTAGGCTGTTTGGTTTGTTTCCTTTATTTTCCCAAAACGATTTTTCTTCACTTTCTTGTGTTTCCTTCACTTTCCATGAAAGTGTTTATTGTGTTTGTTTCGCCAAAAAATATGGGTTGAAAGTACTTTCTGTTGGATTTAATCTAATAAATCTAATTGTGGGCACATATGATTAATCAATGTGTATTGCTATCTTTTAGGATAACCCACTAAAGTGATCAATCAAGTTGGGTTAATGGGTATTTAAATAAGTTATGGGGTTATATGTGCAGATACCAAGTTGTAATTGTGATTTGTTGAGGGGCCAAATTACAAAAGTACAACATCTATAAATAAGGGGTTATGGTCCCTAATGTAGGTTACATTCTCTAATTCTCTTCACCCCCATCTAAAGAGAAGTTCGGCTATAGAGAAAACCCTAAGGTTAGAAGATCCAAAACTCATCTCAGGTTTCATCTATGGATTCAGCAGGTATAAGCTTCCGCTCTTTTGATTCTTGTTAATCTCTTCGAATTAATCATGGCTTTATGGTTTTAGATCTCAAGCTCTTTTGATTCTTGTTAATCTCTTCGAATTAATCATGGCTTTATGGTTTTAGATCTCAAGTTTTTATTAAGATCTAACACTTTCCACCACTTTTCTTAGTTTGGTTCAAATTGAAAAAGAAGAAATTAATTGATGTGTGAATAGATTCCCTCGTTTTTTAGTGTTTGGTTCAAACTAAAAAAATCAAGAAAACTTGATTGTGGTTTGGTAACCATAGTGTGATTAATTACCACTCAAATAAGACAAAATATTAACAACAAAAAATGAATAGATCATAGATATATGCCGTAAATTGATACAACAACCCATTTAACTTTTATCAACTAATAAACAAATAAGATTAGATATCAACCTGATAGATGATTTGGAACACATAAAACTGATACAACCACCCATTTAACATTGTGTTCCTCATTAAACACCGAGTTTTTGATTGTTCGGTGAACATTTTCACTCCTCTCACTGATGTCTGCTGCATATATACCACGCTCTGCATCTAAGCTTGATCCATTCATTATATCACCACTCATTTTCTTGAGATATATTATTGGCAGCCATAAGCGGACAGAAAAGAACCAAGCTGAAAGATACAGTTTATTATGTAAACGGCGTGCTCATATCAGGTGATATATTGAAAAACAATTGAAACAATAGATGAATATAAGGGAAGATATCAACCGTCACAAAGTGCAAGCATGCACATCAAGCACCCATGTGTGCGCGCACACACTGACAGGCGCACACATAGTTACTCTGCAATATTTGGTTATGAGGAAGGACATACCCTAAAATATACAGTGACAAGAACAAAGGTCCACCTGTGAAACAACGAAATTAATCAAACATCAACCGACAGCAAAATATACAGTGACAAGAACAAAGGTCCACCTGTGAAACAACGAAATTAATCAAACATCAACCGACAGAAAAATGGTCTCAAGAACCTGTGAAACAACGAAATTAATCAAACATCAACCGACAGAAAAATGGTCTCAAGAACAACTAAGAAACATGCAGTAATGCCAGCTTACTGAGTGTAGTAGTAGAATATGCTAGCTCCGTCAATAATAACATTGGTAATGAGCAATGCCAGAAGGAGAAAGAAGACTAGAACTCGAAAAGCAAGTAGCCAGGCATGATGGAAACATCAAACCAAGTTTGCACAAACATGAAAACAACAACACAATAAACAACCAATTTTGCACAAACATGGAAACAACAACACAATAAGTTGGACAATAAGCAACCATAAAACATAGCAAGGTTGCAACCAAGGCTGGTGCAACAGATTTCGACTCGTCTCATGCAGCAACTTAAACGCAGTTTGGACAAAAGGTTGGTGCAACAAAATATTAATAAGAACCTGGAAAATACCTACTGCATCAAAGGGCATGATCTCATATGACATATACACCAAAAACTCAGAAGTATGCATGAAGCATTTGCAGTCGTTTTCTGCTAGAATGAGTTTGGCTTATTGAGGTTCTTGTTGAGAGTCTTACAAGTGGATAGGTTTTCAATTTAATAGATGAAAAAAATATAAACATGCTGTGCTATTATAAATGAAGACAAGGAAAAAAGAAGAGTTACAGTCATTGATGTCGAACTATAAATTTTAACATTCAATTTCTCGGGTTTACTTGCAGTTTTGTATCGTATATGACATTGGCTTAGTGTTTGAAACTTTATCAAAGAGGAGTATACAATATTTGGGAGATGGGTTAGGCTCGGGTTCAGGGGCCTAGTGAGGTTGTTGTCGGAGAGGGAGATGGTTTGGAGGGACTGGAGGTCGAGGAGGCCGCGGCCGAGCTCGCCGGAGCTGGGTTAGGCTCGCCTGAACCCGAGCCCGGTTCTCTTCTTCCCCTAATGGCCCAACTCTCTCAGCTCTCCTCCAAGCAAAACCCATATCCTCTTTCTCTCTCTAAATCATGAACTCCTCCTCCCTCCTCCTCCTCCTCCTACCTCCTCTCCTTTGTCTCTCTCAGCCCCTCAGCCCCGACCAGCTCCCAAACCTCGCTGCGACTTCGATCAGATTGCAAGCATGCAGGCTCAAGAACAGCGCAAATCAAAAAGGTAAAAGAGAGTGGAGATGAGAGATCGAACCCGAGGAAGGAGGCGGAGATCAGGGGGTTCCTCTTTGGCTCGTGAGAAGGAGAAGAAGGTGGGAGGAGGAGGAATAGGAAGCAGCGAGAGGAGAACGAGATAGAGAGGTGACAAGATGTTAGGGGTAGAAAGCTAGGGTTTCCCCTCCTTTTCTGCTTGGGTGTCAGTTTTTGGTTGGGGAGGGGGGGGGGTTATGTTGATTAGAATGGAAAATTTCACAGCACCAAATCCGAGCTGGCACCCATTTTCTCCTCCCACTTTTTTTATAGCTTTGACGAACCAAACAACTGAAAGTTGAGGAAAACATTAAAATTTTACTATGTCGGTTTTCTTTTCCTTACTTTATGTACTTTTTTCGCGAACCAAACAGGCCCTACCTCACTTTTAAAAAGTACGTTAGAGATATTAAATTAGGGAGGTAGAATTTAGAAAGTACATTAGAGATATTGAGTCAGAGAGGTAGTGCTGTATTTAGCATGGGTTAAAATATAAACCAGTATTAATCTTATCAATAATTCTTAGATTTCAAGATAACCTCTTTTTGTGTCCATCACCATAAGATTTGGGTTCAAGTTACAGTTTATGGGTCTTAGATAAATGACCTCAAATATAAATGGTGATAAACTGAGAGCAACCAATACCATAACATCAAACACAAATACCTAATTTTGAAAAAAAAAACACTCACCTTGCTCGTAAAAATTCTTCATTGTACAGAGTCAGCTCCGTCTCTTTTTGTGTATTAATATATAGTCTAATAATTTAAGTTATGACAGAATATCATAATAATCACCAAGTGATTATGCAAAATGTAAAAAAGAAGAGAAAATAAATAGATACCCAACAAAGGGAATATTGACTGTTGGATATTTATTTTATTTTATTTTTACATTTATTCTTCAAAGCTTATCGTTGGAAAAGAAAAATCAAATCCTACTCTGTAATAACTTCTAGAAAAACTAAATCTTTAGCAGCTACAGGGACCCAAAACACATGAGATGGGACCCTACATGGGACAAGTGATGTGTCGGCTCCCTGTCCCATGATACACTGTTCATGAACAGTACATCATGGGACAGAGAGCTGACACCTCACATGTCCCATGTAGGATCCTATGTTTTTGGACCCTAAGGTATTTTTCTTTTCCCCAATACAAAAGAGACACCTACACGGTCCAAAAAAGCTCTCACAACAACCAACGTAAACTCTCCATACCCTCAAAAATGGAACAATGAAGAGCCGCTCCAACCTAAGTGAGGTTAGTCATCTAAAACTTAAATTTGGAACCGAGATAATCTGTGGGATAAATTTTTAAGGTGTTAGTTACATAGAATTAAAACTAGAACAAAATTTTACAGTGTTAGTCAAACAGAACTCTAACAAAACTAGAATTGAGATAATGGTACAAAATTATCTCACTTTTTTTATTTTCCTATATAAAAATGAGAGTTCTAGTCTCTCAAATTATTCCAAGTTTTAGCTTGGAACTAGATGGTAAAAAACTAGAGCTCATATTTATTTTGTTATTTTTTATATTTCTTTTTTTTCCTTTACTTTTTTCCTATTATGATTATCACCATCATTAGACCATCATTATAATAATAATTGTCAATATCTTATAGTCTAACCAAAAGTTATTTAATAGTAAAGAACATTCTTGTAAGCAATTATCAATCAATAATAGTAAGTTTAAAATACATAAATAGTATTTATATCTTCAAAATGCATAAATATATATTTAATGATTATAAAAATTTATCCCATATTATTTTATTAAAATATCATGCTTCACAAAATTGTTCCTATTTATCCCACTAACGAAACATTATTCCACTTTAATAATTATCCCATTTTGCATTAAAATGTCCCAATTGACTAACACCCGCTGAAGGAATTTGCACAGCCTATTTCAAGGTGTATAAGGAACTAGAATAAACTCATATATCCCATTTTGCATTAAAGTGTCCCAATTGACTAACACCCACTGAGTGAATTTGCATAGCCTATTTCAAGGTGTATAAGGAACTAGAATAAACTCATATATCCCATTTTGCATTAAAATGTCCCAATTGACTAACACCCCTGAAGGAATTTGCATAGCCTATTTCAAGGTGTATAAGGAACTAGAATAAACTCAAAAACTCAAGTCCACAATCTCCTACTGAAATCACATATTAAAAAAAAAGTAATAATCAAAAAGATGTATAGAATCATCAGCTAGTGCACAGAGAGGGCACACGGAACTTGCATCCAATCCTCTTTGTCTTGAGCAACGTTCTCGTTAAAAAGCTTGTTGTGTCGTGCCAATCAAAAGATTGTTATTTTTTATATAGGCCTCTACAACAACCAACGTTCTGTCACTGAGCGGCTTGCTTAGGTGGGCTGATCTATTCTTCTATATTTATAGGAGTATCTAAAGAATCACTGTTCATACTTACTACTCTTGATACAGTAATTTATTGTAGCATAAATAGTAAATCGGATCTGAGCCTCTATACTTGAAGCTACTGTTTATCCTACAATAATTTACTATATTATAAAAAGTAAAGCAAATTAACTATATTAAAACGTGGATTCTCCTTTAAATATAGAGGAGTAGATATGATTTCTAAATTAAATGTATTAAAACTTAGATCATTCTTTAAGTATATAAGAGTATATATAATTTTTAATTTTAAGCGTATAATAATTAAATTAAATATGTTAAAACTCAAAGGAAGACAAATTCTAAATGCGGGGATTAAAAAAAAAAAAAGGAACCGAGCGGGGTGCACACTGGTTAGCATTTTAAAGGGGGAAAAAACGTATTTATTGGAGCCGAAAAGCGGCCCAAACACGCAGCCCATATCCGCATGCAAAGGGAAAGGAGGGGTTTTTCAACTAAACCCAACCCGACCCGCTACCATTAATTCCTATTTCCCCTCTCTTCCCCTCTCTCCAGTTATTTCCCCAGAACCCGATCCCAACCTATCTCCGCCGCCATCGTCACCTTCTCCCGCCGCCTCCGCCGCTGATGAAACCGGCCACCTCGACGGCCTCCTCCTATTTCTCGACGCCTCCTCGACGCTATCCATCGCCAACCTCCGAGCGCACTTCCTCCGCCTCCGATCCCAAACCCTAGCCCAAGGTGACAACTTTCTCTTTTTTATTTCTAGCTTCTACTATATTCTTGATTTTAGTAGGTTGTTTATAGTTCAGTGCTCTCTTATAATTGTTTTAACAGTGAATTATTAGTTAGTTTACAACTTTAATTAATCAATTGAGTGTTATATTATTAATCTAATTGAGATGAACAAAAGCTATTGTTAAGTGTTATATTAAATAAAGTTAGTTATTGACATATTTTTATGCAATAAAATTTAGTTAAATTAGTTAATATCAGTTAAGCTTATTAGCACTGATCTTGCTCGCTGTCACTGTTATTATTTTAATTTAGGTTTTACTGTTTTATTTAATAATGACTAATGAAGTTTCATGGTTTGTTAAATTAGAGTGAGTTTGTTAATAGTTCTAAGTTTGTTGATGTGCTTTCATTTGTCTGTGGTCTTTGTGACACTATTTTGGCTATTTTTTTATCAATTATTATAATTAAATAGTAAACAAGGAAAAATGCCTAGGCGCCACCTAGGCTTACGCCTAGGCCCCGGCTCAAACGACTAGTCTGCGTAGCGCTTTTTGTAACATTGCTAGCATCATGAAATTCTAAACCACCTTGAGCTTTTCACAAACATAGAGTTTTCCATGGTACCAGAGGAACTGTATTTTTATTATCACCACCACCCCAGAGGAATTTCCTACAGTTTTTCTTCAACTTCTTTAATCACTTTCTTGGGCAAAATAACATAGAGGACCAAAAAATATGTAAACTTAAGAGCACAGAGTGCACTAATAATGATCTTCTAGCATACGATAGGAATTTATTGCACCAACTCTTTATTTTGCCCAAATCATTTCAATTAAGGGCAGCCAATCGAAATAAGAAGGGGCTTTGGCGGTGAGGGGCACACTCAAGTAGCCAGGTACCTGATATGGAGAAATCCTTCACTCTATTGAATACTAGTATGTACCCCGTGCCAAGCACGGCCCTCGCCTCTTTTCTACAATTCGTTAATGTTGTTTGATGCCCTCGCCTCTTTTCTACAATTCGTTAATGTTGTTTGATCTCAATTTTATTTTTATTTTGAACCGATTTCTACAGCTAGCAACTATGATTTTATTTTTATTTTGAACCGATTTCTACAGCTAGCAACTATGAAGAACTTCAAATGAGTTGCATTTGATAAATAGATGTCTAATAATATTGTATGGTGCAAATATAACAATACTACTCCAACAATTCACACATAATGGCCTAATAAAACAATATATCTATAGTTCTATAAATATCCCCTATCAAGTCTCTTCACAGCTTTGTGCACATAAACCATCCCAACCTCCTCAATGTCAACAATTAGATTGTGTGTAAGAGAAAAATCTATTGAGTAACATGAACAGTGATTCTCATATCCTTCCTTTTGTATAGAGGAGTAGATATATAGGGGGAAAAGATGAGTAATAACTTAAGTAAGCAATAAAACAATTTTCTTCATTCTAAATATCATACATATATTATCTTCAGTTGGTGTGCAATATAGCTTGCAGACACAAATCAGAGACTGAGACAAACTATTTTCCCTACCTTGCAAATAGGTTGTTGAGGATTTCTCATATTTACTAACAAATTCTCACACTTAAGATCAAAATGGACAATATTCTTTCCGTGCAAGTACTCCATTCCAAATGCAACATCCATTGCAATTATTAGCCTTTTGCGACGATCAATCGTTCTGCTAATAACAGATGTTGTTAACTATTAAACATAGTTGGCTGGAGCCAAATACATGTTAAAACCACTAATAAACATCCTATAGTATATGGAAACTGCAAGCAGAACTACACAAAGATCATATGAAGCTTGCACCTATCTTTTTTTTGTAAAAATTGCTTCAGAGAACCATTGATCCGTGACAGTTGCTAAAATCCCATCAGGACCATCACGGACTACACCATAAAAAGATACAACATTTGGATGATGTAATGAACTTAATGTCAAAGCTTCTTTCTAGAAATCTGCAATCTGTAGAAAAACATGAAATGATTAATATCAGTAGCCTATCCTCGAGTCTATAAATAGTTCTTCTCAGAGAGAATATATGACAGTGATAATGATTTTCTAAAATAAAAAAAAAGAGTCTATAAATAGTTCTTCTCAGAGAGAATATATGACAGTGATAATGATTTTCTAAAATAAAAAAAAAGCAATAAGGACAGTTGAAGCATTATGGTGGAGTGATGCACATATGAACAGGAGAAGCCAGACATGAAAATGCAAATGCAATGAAAGGCAACATTTCTCAAATAGAAATCATAGAGCAATTGTGTTTTTTATTCATGTATTAACCTGGAGTATCTTAAGATTTAAGATCATAATATGTAACATGTATCATAAATGCATGTCATATCACATTCAAAAGAAGTCTACCTAGTGTTTGTGTTTGTGTTTGTGTGTTCAGAGTTGGAAAATCGAAGTTAATAAAATAAGCCGAAGCAGAAGAATGGAAAACTCGAATAATTTATTGTGACAACAGATGCTCTGGTGACTGTGGAGTGATGCCATATTCTAGATTGAAACTGACCTTAGACATATATTAAGGGGCTAAAATCACATCACCTCAATACTCATAGTATTGCTGCTGAAAAATCGAGTGCAATTCATCTGCTAATTTCTTGTCTCTCCAGCATTATGGAGGTTGAGTGTATGTCATATTTTTAGGGCATCACTCCGTCATGGAAATATTGGCGCTATATTTTTAGGGCATCACTCCAGCTCAATACGATCAGCATGCTTCTTGTTAACCACGATACTAATTATCACTTATGCCAAATATGTTAAACATGTGATTTAGGGCCGCTATAATTTTCCGCTTCTTGAAATTGAAGTAAGCCTGAATATAGGGAAGCCCAAAAAATCAGTAATCCATAAGATTGAAAGCCTATTAGACATCAAATAGTAAATGTTAGAATAAGTTAGTCTAGCATTCATATTGTGGCAAATAGTTTCATTATCTATGGCAACAGGAAAGCAAGGACCAAAAAGAGTGAATCTTGCTCAAAACCAAAGATAAAAAGGAAGTTGTTTCTCCTCCCTTTTGGAAATTGATCTAACTGTCCACAATCGAACTTCATGTACCGCTAATTCTTAAGTCAATGCTACGTAGTTCCACATTAGTCATCTTTCGCTAATTCTTAAGTAATTTTTCTAGAAGTAATAATATTTCTCTGAACTGATTTGAAGTTTTTTACTCTTTCGTAATCATAATATAGTCTTTGATCATATTCTTTTGAGTTATAATTGTCTTTAAATATCAAAAATTACTAACATCAGTTCTTGAAGTCCCAAAATCGGATTTTTTTTTACTTGTAATCATTAAGCTTAAAACATTTTCCAACATTCTTTTTTACATGTCACGGTAGTTTTTCAAATGCTAGAATAGTCTGTTTATGCTACAGTAATAATGCCCAATAATCTGAATTCATGTGTTTAGAATATCAACTTATGATTATATGACTGATTGAGTAAATATAGTTAAAAAAATTATGCAATGGGGATCAAATTAAATACCTTCATAAGAAGTTATAGAAGAAACATTTTTGCCTACAAAAGGAGAGGGGAAATAGATTACAATTGCATTCCAAGGCCAATATTTGTAAACACATAACTAATAATAAGAGTAACATACCTTCAAACTCTATAGTGCTGTCGTTACCATCTACAGAATTGTCCTCTACACAAATAAGGACATATTCATTGAGCAAACTTTTATATGAAGAGAAGAAAAAAGTATAAATGATTGAAGTTAATACCTTCAACCTCCAAGTTAGCATTGGTATCATCTAAACCCATATTATCAGTTTCTCTTGCATCCATATAGAACTTAATAACATATATCAGCATAAATTTGACATAGAAACATGTTTCAATTGGCGTAAAAAAACATAATGTCCCACCGTGGACAAACTGATAACTATTTATCAGTAAATTTAAAATTACATTATAATTTTTTTAGGAAATTGTAGTTTGTCCATCTACTATTCTATCAAGATAATCCAAGCCTTCAATAAATTGAGATCCTATACCAAATACAAATTGTTGAGACACTATTATATACAACACTTGAATTATTAATACTAAAAGTAAATAGGAGGGAAAAAATACCATGAAAAGAATAGTCAATATAACTTTGTACTGACTAAGCAACTTCATTGTCCGCTATGCCAACTTTAGTTCTTGGGCTGAAATTATTTGCACTCCAAGCAACATATTGCAGAGTTCTTCTATTTTGAATAACACACTTTCCAATTTTCACTGGGGGATCGCATTGGTTCAATAAGCTGTCATTTGATGAAAGAAGATTTCTCAAAGCTTGTCTTTGGTTCATTTGAAAGCAATTTGCACCCTTGCCATCCATATATAGTTGATTTTCAGAAGTTGATCCATCTGTCAGGTTCACTAAAGCACTTGAGTCCATTAGGGGAATTTGATAATGTGCCTATCTTATTTTGTGATGAAATAGAGTTGGCACCAACATTCCTTAGAATAGAATTGGCCGAATGTAGCAATGAATGTCCAACTGCAAGTTATAGATAATTATAATATTTATTTATTCCAAACAAACATGTTAATTGAGGTATCACAAAATGGTCTGGAAAAAAGTGGATTAAGCTTTAATTGATAAGGCTGCACATAATAACAATTCATAAAACTTATAAACTCTTCAATAGATATTCTCTCTTGTAATGCATTTTTTCTAACAGGAAAACTAAAAAATATTGTCTTACACTTACCATTTGAAATATCACTCAAGGGTGTTCTTGACTCATTCAAAGTTTGCACCCTCTTGTTGCATCTAATTCCTGTGGTTTCATTAAAAGCATCATTTGTGCCTGAATAAACAATAACAAATTCACCTGCAACACGATATGATAAAAAATATAAAGTAACTAATTAGACATCATAACATAAAATGGTTTACAATATATGTGAAGAACTTTTAATTTTTACCTTCATGAACAGTTGTATTGTTTAAATGCTTCTCTAAAATGATCATTCTTCTTCTCATCCTAGCATGCTTCTTGTCCATTTGATGCATACGATAAAGTTTTTCGCCTTCTAAAAGATGTTTAGTAAGTAAATTAATCAAAGAAATCTCTCTACAGTAAACATAAAATCAAACATGACACAATCAATATCATCAGTACAGAAACTTAGAGATGGGGATGGGGGGGAGAGAAATGCTTTGGGGAAGAAAAGAAAGAAGATCAACGGATTAAAAATCAATCAGTTAGAAGTTAGGTAGAAATAAACTTAAGAGGTTCATTCTCAAAGCAAATGGATGAATGGCTCATAGCCTACCTTCACTCAAGTCTCCTGAGAATGATCCAAAGACATGTAGTTCACTGGAGCCCCTCGTGGAGGAACCAAATAGAATCTATAGTAATGCAATGCTTACTATAGATTATTTTGCTCGCAGCCCGTCTTCACTCAATATTGATTTGGAAAGCCTCCAAAGTCAGGTAGTTCACATAAGCCTAATTTGAATTTAAAAAATAAATTTTTTTAAATGTTCATGTTATAATTGTTGAATTTAAAACTAAAGGAGTCAAAGTTCAGTAAGCCTAATTTGAATTAGAAGTGCTCAAGAAAGATTCTATAAGCTTCTAAAAATGTTCATGTTATATACTTAAGTCATTTTCCATACTTAACGAATACTAATACTCAAATGAGTTATTATGTTGAAGATAATCAGTTTCATCAAGTCGCTTCAGAGATTTACTATAGTTTGGGGATTGCAGCTGTTCTCCATGGTCTTACCGGAAAAAAGTAAGATTAAAATGTCTTAGTAGATCTTAAACATGCCTTTCATAAAACAGTTTTTGTTGCATTTAGAAATAAAGGAACTAAAGCTTAATAATACCTGTATTTTTTAAGAACTATAATTGTTGCATTTAAAAATAGCGGAGTTACATTTAATACTACCTGAATTGAATTAGAAGGGCTCAAGAAAGATTTTATTAGCTTCTTGTCGTTGCTTATTCTAGCAACGGTATAGCTATACGTATTGAATGTATAACTTGGACAAAAAATTATGACTACCACTAATGAGAACACAAACTAAAAGCATACCATGACAACAATAAATCTATCGGTTGTGGGCTCCGGTCCTATATGAGCCCCTGCATAAAATAGTGAAATTTGATTAGTTACACAATATCTATTAATATGCCCTCCCCCTCTCCCGCAAACCCATCCTTCAAAATAAGAAGGAAGTAATTTTAAGTAGATAGAAAATCCAACAAACCTAGGTAGCTAGATCTTAGCAAATGCTTTATAAATGTTGTCTTCCCTGTAGAATAATGACCCAAAAGCATAACCATGGGCTTGGCATCAAAATCACTATTTGTCTAAAAAAGGAGCGTTCAAAGCAAAATCAGTAACATACTATTATGCTTGTATTCACTTATAAAAAACCACCAACTACAACCCCCTGAAGAGCTTAACGGCTGATTCATAAAATGAAATGAAACTTATAAGGTGTTTGCCCATGAGAAGAGGAATATATGTATTGCATAACTCACCAGCAAAGGAGAAGCAAAATCATTAAATTGATAGGTAACTTCCAATGGCTTTAATTTTTCAATATATAGTTTCTTCAAGCCATCAATAATCGAAGTGACAGAGCTTAGAGGAATCTGAACAGAAAAACAATAACAGGTAGTACAGGAGCATACAAAATATAGGCATAAAACAATATAAAAATTAATATAAAAAGGACTATTTTACTGAAAATCAGTGAGCAGGTAATAATCTGTTAGCAAAGAAATGCAATAGTTAATCACATGAAGACTTGCTTCCGAGGATATTGGAGAAAGAATTCATAGTTTGATTGAGATTGACACTGCAATAGTTGATCACATGGGAAAAAGCGATATTGGAGAAAGAATTCATAGTTTGATTGAGATTGACACTGCAATAGTTGATCACATGGGAAAAAGCCAATGTAAACATAATAAGCTTGTCGGGTCCGTATCAAATCATAAAGATTTATAAATGAACTGTAACCTTCATATTAAAAGCATCATATGCAATTATAATCCTATGCATTATATACATACAAAGAGTAAAATACATTTCAACTACGTATATATAAATGTTATCAATTAAACTCTATTATCCAAAATTTGAGAATGCTATTCAAGAGGACTAATTTCTAAGAAAAACAATTTCCTCTAAAACATATTTCTTATATTAATAGAAATGCAACTATTATATATAAAGCTAAACTAATTTCCAAGAGAACTACATCTTTTGCCTCTTTTTCTTGAATCAGATTACATTTGCATGTAAAGCCTACAAAGAAAGATGTAAAAAATAATTGTGATACGCGAATACTTTAAGGTAATAGCAAAATAGACCAATATCATAATGTATCATTTATGTTGATAAATTCTCAAGCTAATAAGAAAAGCAGACATTTATAGTAATAAATAATTAGTTTATTGAGAAGCTCTTAAAAAATCTGGAAAGCACTTGATGTGGAACCATAAAATTCTATCCATCATAAATTCACCATAAAATTCTATCCATCATAAATTCATGTACATTTAGCTCTTCAATTGCAGAAAAATCATGATGAGTAGCTATATTATTGAACCCATCCTTCATTAAAAAATGCTTCTTTTCCCATATATCATTAACAAATATGATCTCGATTCAACTAAACTTCATACTCTATTCTCAAAATAAAATTAGGATTGTCCTGAATCCAGTTATGAGCAATTACATAATCATACCCAGCTGAGGGAAAACCGAAGCTTGTGTCGCCTGCGGGAAAGCAGCAGAGATATCCAACGCCAGCAATCCAACATCCGAACTCATGCTCTCCTTTGAGTGCTCACCGAAAGCAGCAGAGATATCCAACGCCAGCAATCCAACATCCGAACTCATGCTCTCCTTTGAGTGCTCACCTGTTAATCATTTAGTCCCAAAAAATAGAAAAAGGAAAAAAAAGATAATTTCTATATTTAGGCTGAAATCGATGGACCAACAAATTCTTTCTGTTTATAGGAACTGGAAAATGAAGGAAAAATTGAGGTCAACATGGGGAAAGCTGTTACCTTGATTTTTTGATAGAGGAACCATAGCCGAGGACGCGCTCGAACTCTTCGAAGTCGATGAAGCCATTGCGGTCGGCGTCGGCGTCGGCTGCGGAGATCATGGAGGTGATGACGTCGTCGGCGATGATCATGGATTTGAGGTCGCTGAGGATGATCGGGGAGATCTGGATGAATTCAGAGAAAGAGAGGGTTTTTTTGGTTGGAATATAGAGATCAGATCTGCGACAGCCGCCGACAACACAGTCGGAACCTTTCACTTCTCCATTGATCTCGCCGAGGAGATCCCGATCTAAGACTCCGATGTCGGAGGTCTCGCCTGATCGTCCTCTGAATCCCTAATCGAGTCGGGGATTACTGCTGACGACGACGACGATGATTTCTTGAGGCGTTTGAGCTTAGGTTTGGGGATCGGCGATTGTCGATCCTCGGGGATCGGAAGGCCGAGATCGTCTTCGATGATTCTTGAGGCGTTTTTTTTTTTGTCTCTGGTGAATGAGGATCGGGTGAAAAGAGGAGGTGTTTTTTTCTCTGGTGAATGAGGATCGGGGGTGAGAAGAGGGTGACTTATAGGGGGGCATTTTGAAATTTGAAATTTAAGCTGCCGTGGATACACTGGGAGAGGAAAGAGAACAGATGTGTATAGTATTCTCTGTTCATGATACAGTGATAAATTTACTGTTCAATTTACTATGAACAGTAATTCTTTGATCCTCCTATTTGTATAAAGGAATAGATTACATAGAATTTCCTGTCTCACATCATGAGCAACACCACCAAAAAAGATTTTGACTTTTGTCCATATCTGCAAGTAATCCTGAGGCACTTGAGAATCTTAAGACACTCAATTAGAAGCTTTATCGGCTTGATCTCATCTTTGCAAAATAGTAGGAGGTCATCAGCATATGTCAAGTGTGTAAGCTTAAGGAGTCAACACTCTGGCTGAAACTTGAATAAGGGGTTACTGATAAGAGAACCAAGACATCGAGACAAATACTCCATAGCTAGTGTGAAGAGATAGGGTGAAATAGGGTCCCCTTGCTGATCTCTATTATCTTGAAAGTATTCACATAATTCTCCATTGATGACCATAGAATAATTCACACTTTGCACACATTGCAAGACCCAATCAATATATCTCAAAGGAAAACTAAAGTGCATCAGGATATCATGTAAGAAATCTCAATTGAGGGTTCATATGTTTTCCTAAGATAAGTTTTAACCATGAATCTAGGACTTGTATTTCTTCTTCCATAATGTTTAGCAATATCTTGAGCTAATAAAATGTTGTGGACAATATTTCTACCCTTGATGAATGCACCTTGATTGGGACCCACTACATCTTTGACGACATTCTTCAATCTGTTTGTAAGGATATTTGAAACACATTTGTATATCACATGGTAACAAGCAATATGTCTGAATTTTGAGGCAAAAGCACGGGACTTTACTTTAGGCGTAAGTACAATGGATGTAGAATTTACCTCTCTAAATAGTTAACTGTGCTTGAGGAAACTCATCACTGCAGCATATACATCCTTTTCAATGATATTCCAAGTTTTTTTTATATAAAACTTAGAAGAAAGACCATCTGGGACAGGGTTCGTCTTAGGATTAATCTGAAACAGAGCTTCTTTGATCTCCTGGATAGTAATAATTTTGCATAACTGAATGCAATTATCTTCAGAAAATTTACCCCTCTCAGGCTATAGGACCAACAATCTGGACATTAGTAGAATCCACAAGCTTATTCTTATAAAAGCTAATTAGTTCATTATTCACATCTTCCTTATCGGTAAGCTTAACTCCCTCTCTCTTATAAAGAGCAACAATTTATTGTTATGCATCCTCTGCTTGATGGCTGCATGAAAGTATGAAGTATTTGGATCACCCTCATTTATCTACTTTACCTTTGCTTTTTTGCTTCAAAATTTTTGCTCCATAACTCAATATTCTTCTATATTGCTGAATACATTTGGCTTCCCATTTATAAAGCATTTGATTGGAGGACATGTTTGAATTTGTTCTTGAATTCTCTCCAACTCCTGTTTAGCCAGCTCAATTCTAGCTTTCATGCCACCAAAGATTTCTTTATGAAAGTTTTTTAAAGCCCTCTTCACTCGATTCGGTTTAGTAACCAAAAGATTTCTTATGAAAGTTTATTAAAGCCCTTTTCACTGTTTTCAGTTTAGTAACCAACCTGAACGTAGGAGTCCCCGATACTTCAGATTTCCAAGCTTGCTGCACCTGCACCACAGAGAGAAACTGAGGATAAGAGCACCACATATTACAGAACATAAAGGAAGATTTTTTTTTAGCTGCAACATTTTGAAAGAACAATCCCATAGGGGAGTGATCAGAAATAACAGGAGAAAAGATCCATCCATT